TCAGCAGCTTGGACATCTTGCCCCGTCCTGGACAGCTGGGTTGAGTGGACACATGATGGACACATTGCACAGGCTTGGATGGGACCACAGGCTGAGGGGGCTGAGAGGGGGTACTGCTCACCTGAGGACGAAAAAAGGAAACCTGGTGTGAACAGTGGCAGCAAGGCCCTGCCCTCTGAGATTTTTCCCCTCCTCCCTTCCTGGTCCCTGAGGCCCACTCCAGTGATCCACACAGCTGGGTTGAGTGGACACATGATGGACACATTGCACAGGCTTGGATGGGACCACAGGCTGAGGGGGCTGAGAGGGGGTACTGCTCACCTGAGGACGAAAAAAGGAAACCTGGTGTGAACAGTGGCAGCAAGGCCCTGCCCTCTGAGATTTTTCCCCTCCTCCCTTCCTGGTCCCTGAGGCCCACTCCAGTGATCCACACGGCCACTCCTGAGGGATGGGTGAGAGTCATCCACACGGCCACTCCTGAGGGATGGGTGCCAGTCATCCACACGGCCACTCCTGAGGGGTGGGTGCCAGTCATCCACACGGCCACTCCTGAGGCATGTGATGCCTTCCAGCTTTCTGGCAGTCACACTGATGGCTGAGGTGCCATGCTACTCAGAAGCCAAACAGATCTGGTTTAACCCAGCTCCACCTCTTGCTAGTCAGGTGACTTGAGCCCATCCAGGCCCCAGTTCCCATCTCCATTAAATGAGGACAATACCGTTCTTTAGAGTCGAATAGTAAACATTCAATAAAGGAAAAGATGTCCAGCATGGCGACTGGAGAGGAGATTCCAGGGCCAGTCTCCCGGAACATGAATCCTGCTCTGTCACGCACTAGCCGTATTACCTTGAGCAAAGTGATTAGCCTCTTGGTGCCTCAGTTTCCCCATATCTAAAGCGGGAATAAAATGGTTTCATCACCTAGAGTTGTTCTGAGGATTCAACACGTTGGTGTCTGTAAAGTGCTTAGAAAAGGCTGGCGCACTGAGTGTTTATTAAGTTAAAATGAGTCCCACCTGCTCCCTTAGGAAGATCACACCCACGGGCCTTTCTCCACCCAACAGGCAGCAGTTGGCCCCCAAAATGCAGGTCTCCTGGGTTCTGGGCCTCACATCTGCTGCCTCCCACTCTGGCTTCTGATTCGTGGTTGCTCTGGACTTCAGCAATTGGTCTGAACTGTGAAGACCACACCTCGGTGACCTGCCCGGGCATCACCGGCACTGCTCTTTCTGGGTTCCCAGTCCTGACACCTGGCCCAGCTGCACACCCACTGCTGCTGCCCAGCACTGACCACCCGCCACTCCCACAGGCCAAGGGGAGGAGGGAGAAGGAGATAGAAGCTTGGAGAACTTCTGGGCCCAGAAGTTTAAGCCTCACTACATAGGCACAGTCTGCCAGGGGAAGAGCCTCCTCTCCCTGGAGTGGAGGAAATGCAGGTGTGCACGGCACAGCACAGGCCTCAGAGTGGAAGCATTTTTAAAAACAGAGGGCGTTGTGTGCAGTGGTTGGTTGTCCGGGGCTGAGAATCAGGGCTCCTAGATCCTACCCGGGCTCTAGTAAAATGAAAGAAGGCATTGAGAGGCAGACAGCACAGTGCAAGAATGCAAACCCTGGGGCCACACTACCTGGCTTTCAAACCCTGCCCTGCTACTTGGCTGACAATTGACCTTGGAAAGTCATTTTGTCATCATTGTGCCTCAGTTTCCTCCCCTGAAAGCAGAGATCAAAATAAAAACTACCCAATGGAGTTTTCCAGAAATTTGGATGAGTTGATATAAGTAAAGATATTAAAACATTGCCTAGCATATAATAAGTGTTTAATTGTTATTATTAATATTCAGATTACATAAACATGTCCCTGTTCTCTGCCTCATTTTTCTCATCTGTGAGCTGGGTCACCTCAGACTTCCTACCTCCTTTCCTAGGACAGAGCAAGATAAAGAAAAAACTAGTGGCTTCTTCCCTTTATCATGCTGTGAGCACAACCCCAAGACCGCCAGGAGCTGGAGGGGAGTCAGCAGGGGGATGTGATGGTCCCATTTTCCTGGTGTATCTAGGCTACAGCCTCTGGGAAATAAGCAGGCTTCCCAGTTTAGCAACATCGGATTTCAGGTCGGCGAGATCCCGGGCTGGCACAGGCAGTCGGGCTGCCTCATTAGAATGCAGCAGGTGTGCCCACCCTCAGCTTGGGATGTTGGTCACGGTCTCAGGGAGGCTAAAAATAGACTGTCAATTGCACACTCCCGTGCTGGCTGCAGAGTCACCTCTAAAGCTGAAAAATGCTCTGTGCATGAAGCTGACCCCAATCTTGACTCTATTTAAATATATTACGAGAAAAAGTCCTAGTTGGTCCAGGCAGCATGTGTGGTCAAGGTCAAAGGGGCCTGCCTCTTGCACCCATTAATTGCCATTCAACTCATTCCAAGGTCTCCTTTTCCGTGGGGCCCCTGAGACTCCCCAGCGGCCAATTTAAAAAGCATCAACCACGTGCGCCCATCACATTCATGAGGGAAAGAAATGAGTAAATATGGAGGGTCATTCAGCTCAATAACTACAGGTCATGGGAACAAAATGGTAACTGTGGCCCTGTCACTGGTGTTACAGGCTGTCAGCCTCCTGCAGAGGGGTCTTGCACTCTGCCCATGAGCTCAAAGCTGTGCTGTCCCAGGAGGCTGGGAGTGGGGTGGGAAAGAGCAGTGGCCCAGGATGCCTGGGCATTCAGCTACGTGGGTAGCGCTTTTCATCCCACAAATACCTACTGAGCACCTGTTGTGGTGAGGCGCCCTGCGGGTCCTGTGGGAGAAGCAGATGTACAGGACAGTGCCCTCAAAGCACTCTGCTTTCTAGCAGGAGTATAAGACCTTTGAGGCTCCACTGGATGATGGAATAAGGTTTGTTTTACAAGAGAAGCTCAAGCAAATTGTTCTGGGGGCTCAAAGAAGAGAGATTCATTTCCATTTAAAGAGTCAGAAAAGCCTGGGATGGCAGCAGTGAGGAGGGTGGGGAACTTTCTGAATGAATTTTGGTAGGTGGAGGTGGTGGGGAGGACTCTGGGAGGAGGGGATGGCTTGAGCAAAGAGGTAAAGGGGAAGGAAAGCAGTGAGTTTGTTTGGGGAGCAACTTGGCGGAGATAGTGGGAGATTCGGCTGAAGGGAAATCACGGCCAGGCTGTGATGTAATTAAACAAACAGGACAGTGGGGAACTGTTGGCCACTTTTAAGCAGGGAGTTCTATGTTCGAGCTCTACTTTAGGAAGATGAATGTGATGCAGCGTCCCACAGGGGCAAGGAAGAGAAAGGAGGAGTGGCAGCCCTGGCATTGGAGAAGCAAGACATGAACTTATGAGACTATTTGCAAAGTTCAGTCAAAAAATAATGGGGATCTGAAGCACTGTTGTGTAAGTAGGGCTGCCTGCCGGAGAAGCCACAGGAAGAAAAGCTCTGGGAGCTGGCCACTGACGGCATATCAGGAACCAGAGGTGCCTCCAACAGTTCCAGCCTGGGGCCCAGAAAAACGGTGGTGCATCAACAGAAACAAGCCAGCCAGCAGGAAAGGCAGGGTGGCCAGGGAAATGATGAGTTTCAATTTCAATATGTGAAGTGTGCAATGCCATTGCGTCATGTAAGAGAAGATGTCTAGCAAGCAGACAGCAGTGCAGTCCCAGTCAATAAATATTACAAACCAAATTAAAAGGCAAGTGGTAAACTGAGAGTACATTTCTACCATCCCCGACAGGCAAGGTTAATATCCTTAATATGGAAAGCGCTCTTACAAACCAATGAGAGAAAGAAGAACAGCCCCGATTTAACACTGGACAAGGGGCTTATAGCGAATTCACATGAGAATAAGCATAAATGGCAAGTTGACATCTGGCAAAAATATTTAACCTGTTTAGAGATCAGGTAACTTTAAATTAAAGCAAAAAAGTTATAATTCTTAAATACCAAATAAGCTCAGCTGCCCCCCCCCCAAAAAAAAAAAACTGCTAAAAACTCTATTTTTAATGGCTGCAGGAAAAAAAAATAAGTACTTTCGTACAATTCTAGTGAGAACTTTTTGGAGGGTAGTTTGATAAAATTCAGTAAAAGTGACAAAAAAGCAGAAATCTGTTAGCCCAATAATTCATTTTTTAAGTAATATCCTAAGGAAAGAATCATGAATAATCATAAGCGTGTAGCTATAAGAATTTTGTGAAAGCAGTATTTAATGGCAAAAAATAGGAGTCGACTTAGAGGTTCCACAAAGCACAAGTGACTACATGAGCAGTGACAGAGTGCAGGCTACACAGCCTTTTAAATGTTGTGGAAGATGTTTAATAACACAGGAATATTACCACGATAAGCTGTGGGTTGAGAAGAGCACGTGGGAGTAGAACAGATAGAGTGATTGCATTTTGAAAATTAAAACCTATTCATGCTTATGTGTGATGAAGAGGGATTCGGGGACTGTCGTGGGGTGTTGGACTGTCAACAGCTCATTCTTTCCTTTCTGGTGCTTGTTTATAGTTCCTAAAATGTATGCCATTAACACCTACTGCTTTTGTAAATAGCAAATGGTAATAGTGGAAAAGGAAAGACAGTGCGATCCCAGAGCTCTGGAGGGAAGCTGAAGCTGGCACTCTGGATTTGGAAACCATCTGCACTAGATGGCAGGGGAGGGGAGGGGTCACCCATTATCTGCCATTCAACTCTGATTCCAAGGTCCCCTTTTCCATGGGGCTCCCTGACCCTCTTTCCCCAGCAGCCAATTCATAAAGTGTCAACCATGTGCATATTCATGAGGGGGGAAATGAATAGATATGGAGGGACATTCAGCTCAATAACTACAGGTCATGGGAACAAAATGGTAACTGTGGCCCTGTCCCTGATGTCACAGGCTGTCAGCCTCCTGCAGAGGGGACTTGCTTTCTGCCCATGAGCTCAAAGCTGTGCTGTCCCAGGAGGCTGGGAGTCGGGTGGGAAAGAGCAGTGGCCCAGGATGCCTGGGCATTCAGCTACGTGGGTGGCGCTTTTCATCTCACAATTACCTGTGAGCACCTGTTGTGGCGAGGCGCCATGTGGGTCCTGTGGGAGAAGCAGATGTACAGGCCCTCTAGGTCTTCATGTAGGCATACAGGAACCCAT